AATGGTCGAAGTTGAACCTCTGGCCAAAATTATAGAAGCCAACATTTCCAAGTTTTTGTGGAAAAATATTATATGCCGGTTCGAAATTTGCCATTCAATTGTCTCAGATAATAGGCGTTAGTTTGATAATAAGAAATTCATGGCCTTATTTGAGGAACTAGGAATCAAGAAGCACTTCTCCACCCCATCATCCACAGGCTAACGGGCAAGTGGAGACAATTAATAAAACCATCAAATATACCCTTAAAAAAGAAAGTTAGATGTTTCCAAAAGGGGTTTGAGTAGATGAGTTACCCCGGGTTCAATGGGCAATACGAACCACTAGCAGGATAGCTACTGGAGAAACTCCTTTTTCTATGGCTTATAGAACAGAGGCTATGTGGCCAGTTGAAGTAGGTATGCCCTCTCCTCGTCGCTTACAATTCAGTGAAATATCTAACGACAAGTTGAGGAGGTGGAAACTTGATTTCTTTGATGAAAGGAGGAAAACTTCTCAAGTGAAGTTAGTTACCTACCAATGAAAGATGACCCGATACTACAATTCTAAGGTTAAGAAGAGGTCATTTCGTCTGAACGACCTCATATTACGAAGAATATTCATATCTTCTAAAGAACTAGGAATGGGGACTCTTAGCCCCAATCGAAAGAGTCCCTACCGCATCAAAGAAGAGGTTTGACCACGAATATATAAGATTGAAAAGTTGGATGGAATGGCACAACCTCATCCTTGAAATGCAGAACACTTAAGGAGAAATACTCAATTTTTACAATTTTCTTAATTCAATGAAAGTGCCTTTGTTAAAATTCTTGAAAGAAAAAGTGCCTCCCAATGACAAAAATCCTAGGGGAAGCTTTACCGGTAGGTTAACCACCAAGTAGGGAAGCGTTGACACTTCGACGAAGATATGGATTCCAAAAGAGACCACCTCCTTAATCTTCAGATTGGACAACACATGTCCCCAATGATAAAAGTCAAGAAAGAAGTCTCAACATGGATGAATAACTCAATCCCATACTAAGGAAAGAAAGTAAGTTAAAAGGCATATAACCACAAATTTTTAAACAAGTCTTAATGAGACTAAAGCACACCATAAAGTAGTAACATAAGTAAAAAATGTAGTAAACATTCAGAAAATTAACACAATTATGACGAAGGAAAATTTCATTTCATTTAAAAAGCTTATAACATTGTAGGCGAAGCCATTTACATGGAGAAATAAAAAAGAAATTACAAATGCCTAAGCTAAGTAAGAGGGGGGATTGGTGCTAGAGAAAGGAATAATGGCTTTGGAGCTAATTGCTTCAGAAGTCACGTTGCCATCCCCAGCCTCATCATCTTCTAACTCAATTATATGGTTGCCATCTACCGGAGTCTGAGGCTCTGTTTCCTCCAAGAACTCTACTATTAACTTTGAAATGTCGAAGGATTGAAAGTGCACCTCAATCCACTTTATAACCTCGACGTATGCGTACCTCTGCCAGTACTTAGCGAACCGTTCATACTCCCCAGTCAGCTATAAATTGGCGATGTACCACTTATAGTGTCATCCGCAGCAAATTGGGCATCCCTCCTTACCGACTCCCCTCTTTAGTCAAACCAGAGACTTTGGATTCAAGGTCCCCCACCTGTTGCTTTAAGGGAGCATTCTCCTTATTAGATCTTTCTAAGGCTTCTACAGCTATTTTTTGGTAGGCGTCGGAGGTTTTCACTTGCTTTGTAAGAGAAACCACCTCACTTTGAGATAAGTGGACCTCTTTCTTCAATCTTTCAATTTTTACTAGGACAGAAAGCAAGCTTCATGGCCTCTTTAGCCTATTGCTTTTTGGTGATCTCAGCATCAGACTTGGTCTTCTTGGTCTCCTCCTCCGCCTAGGATGCCTTATTGGAAAACTCCTTATTCTTTTTCTAAGTTTTTAAAGAGGATTTCAGTCTCTATGTCAATCCAAACGCCCTCCTAGCCTAGCTCACCATGGTAGCAAAAATGTCTACCGAATCACTCGTCTTTACGAAGGTTTGCCACATCTTCTTCCAAAACTTGTAAAATGTGGTAGTTGTTGCTTAAACGTCTAGAGGAAGGCCAGGGCTTCTGGGGCTAGTTTATCTCTCAGCTTGGACAATGAGAGCTTGGTGCGATGAGTTGCATCGAAGGCAATCATTGAGTCACACGATGTATTCCCCATCTTCATCTTCGAAAGCTCCACGACAATTGACCTCTTCTGCCTCTCCCGGTATTGGTTATGATGCCACCATTAATCTTTCCCTAGTTGAGACTTCAGATCGTAATGGTGGGCTGACCATTGACCCCCACTTCGGTAAAAGAGAATTACTGCTTCTTTTTTAGGACCTCTTCAACTTTATTTTTCCCTTTATCTTTAACGGGGGTAGCCCTTCTCCTTCACGATCAGCAGCCTCCTTCCTGATCTTTTCTACTTGGTCCCTCACCTATTTTGCTGCAACAGATGATGGCTTCAGCGTCTTACAACCAGCAGTGGATGTGGCAGCAAGAATGGAGGCTATATCAAGGGTGAGATGCCTCATCTTTTCGAAGTTTTCAGTAAAAGAAATAAAGGGTGAGCACAATTACCCACCAACAGTAACAGGACAATCATGCTAAGAGGTTACCTCTTCATGCCATTAGGCAAATTTCTTTCAAAAATTGCTCCGAGTTAATCAAGCAATCGAACTCTTGCTAAGATAGAGGATGAAGGTAGACGTCCTCTATAACACTCAACTTTGATTGTGTTAGTTTGAAGCGACCTACCAACTCTGCAACAATGGGAAAATGTTAGATCTAATTCAAAGTCAATAAACAAACACTGAAGAAACAAACATTCATTAGCTTCGAAATAATTGGTCGGCATTGTCACATAGGAGACCTGCTACCCTCACATGTCTGCCACTGCTCCTTATCTAGGAAAGTAGGCTCGCTCAATAGGAAAAGGGGCCGGAGTTTGATATTATAGGAATACAATACTTCTCCCTAAGGTCTATAAGGTCAGCTGCTGTTACATTTGAAGAGATATTGGCTGCCTCCAACTCGCATCGTAGTACTAATATCTAAGTCCCCCTATTAGAATGTATAGAAGCCATGAAATTCAAATTCAAAGTTTAAAATACACACGAAGTCAAACAACAACACTGAAGGACAAGTGGTCGGAGTTTGTGAAAGTGATCGAAAGAATTTCAATAAAGTTGAAGAATGAGAGTTTTCGAGAGTTAAATTGTGTATGAAAGCAAAGTGATTTTCACCCAAAATTGTTACCTTTTATAGGCGGAGGTCATTAATCCTAACCGTTGGATATGAATTTAGACCATCCAACTGTTCATTTAAGACTTAATCTTACTCATCCACCGCATTTGCCGCTTCATCTTCTATGGCCCAGATCAGAGCTTCAGAATCACGAGTGCCACTACGTCTGCATCCTATAAAACACACATACAACAGTTATCATTACTCATTAAATGTGACGATTGTTGTGTGTATGAAAATATAAACTGCTTCAACTGTCTTTTCTTAAAAATGTACAAGATAGCAAATCATTTGGGCGTAATAATTAAGTACGCCTCATGTTTCTAACGTTTCAACAAACATGTCTATTCAGAATCATTGCGCTATAGCTTCAGCAAATAGATGAGGTACACTACCTAAGCCTCAACATGAATAGTTTCGGCAAGACTTCAAATATACAAGGCTGCTTCTGATGAAATAACCTCGGATAGAAGGACCTCAACTAATGCTCCCCATCCTTTTCTAAAAAAATAGAAACTTCAAAAAATCCATGCATTATATAAATAATCATGCATAAACTTGGAGACTATTGTTATGCCTCACCACCGAGACTCCTAGTGAAGGCCATGTTAGTCCACGCAAAGATATTTAGTCAGATCTGACAAAGTCAATAAAGACCCAATTGGTTAAGATGAAGAAGTCAAAGAAGAAGCTGATCTCCATTATTCCGAGGCTCTTATGTGGTCGAATCCTTGTCTCTATTCGAAGCTCTCTTATGTGGCTAAAGCCCTGTTTCTATCCGAAACTCTCTTTGGCCGAGACACCTTCCCCATCTGAAAACTCTCTTTTAGGCTGAATCACATGTTATCTTTTAAGGGATTCACACACAATCTTTAAGAATGATTGATGTAACGTTTATTTTATAAATGTCAGGATTGTCGCCTAGGGAGTATGTCGGCTGACCCATTATCAATGTATTAAATGCATAGTAGACGGAGCAATGTGCGGCTTCGACTTGGGAGATAATCTCACATGTTTCTGATCCAACAACTACCACGTCGGTCAGAACTCGATAAATAACTCTTGTAATTTATTAAAGGATAATGCAATTCTTTACCCTTAAAAACATATTCAGGCTACTCTCTTGCTTATAATCTATCCATTTGCAGGAGTTGAGTTTATTTTGGTAAAGTTGTTTGTGATTATTTGTTTATATACAATCATCTTTGATCATATTGTCGGTGTTTGAACGTTTTTGTTTCGCGTCGAAAAGTATCTCTAACGTCCATAAACATCACCTTTCTCCGTTCGGAACTCGGTCAAAACATGTTGGAAATTGTTTGCATGGACGCGATTGAATCTGATAGATGTTTGCATAACCATCACAGAAAATGAGGTCAACATAATTCTTCGGTAAAAAACGTGCCATGTCACTTTTTAACACCAACAACTTAAGCAATAATGCTAATTCTCTCTCTCTCTCTCTCTCTCCAAATAAACTGTCACTGCCAGAACGTTATTTCATTGTTCAGATGTCACTATCAATGGCCCTTAAATATTTGAAATCATGGGCCTTCTGAAGCAGCCCATGTTCAAAAAATTTGCATGATAAAAAAGTAAAATAATAAATTAATTAAAAAACAAAATTTCCATAAACCCGCTTTCAGATTAGGGTTTTAATCACCATTTCCCAATTCTAAGCTCTTTGCTCTAATGAGCAACACACATCAATATATATACAGTTTATACGTATAGTGTTGTAAAAGAGTGATGGATAAGCTAATTTTGACCCTTGATAAAGGTACAACGTGCACGGCATGGAATTATAGCGGCCACAGATTAGCCGCTGGTTCAACTGATGGTACCGTCGCTATCTACGATTCAACTGACCCAGTTTCTTCAACCTTTAACTGTACATCCAGATTCAAGGTTAGTATAGTTAGCTTTATTGTTGTTATTTTTTGCATTTGCTTATGAATATTTGAAAAGTTTCAGACATTCTTGTGCCCTACATGTTATTAGCTGTTTGGAATAAAGGATATCGGTAATAATTACTGTAAACGGGAGATCTTGAGCAATTAGTGGGTGCGTGCAAGAGCTCGAATGGGATATGTTGTAAAATCATGGAATTAAATATTTATGATGTGGCGTTCTGAGGGTTACAATTAAGAATGGGAAAATTGAATTTAATATGAAAATATCAAATTGTATGTTTTGAGAAAATAGATAAATACACGAACCCACACTTTACTTTTTAGCGGAGAAGTGTTCTTGAGATTTTCTTATCACCAATTTTACATAAAGAAGCTATCCTTTTCCATAAACATTTGCTTTGAGCATAGGGGCTGTAATACTGTCAGTTGATTATGATTTCAGGGTCTGTGATACTGTCAGTTGATCATTGTGAAATCATAACATTTCTCAGGTTGTTAAGCATATGTTGTGTAGGCATTTAATACCTATGGTTTATTATTAAGCTTAATTGTGTAAAGTAATTTTCTGCGGAGTGTTTATTTGATATCTGGAGGAAATCAGATTTGTTCATAATCTCTTCTGATGAAGTTTGGATTCAAATAATCACCTGTTATAGCATGATAAACAATTAGGTCCAAGAAAGCAGCATTTTGAAAGTTGTTTGGATTCCACCGGAGTATGGAGATGCAGTTGCTTGCATTGCTACTGATGGAACTTTGTCATTGTGGGAAGAGGTTGCACAAGGTACTTAATCAATTTGCCATTCTGTCTTAGTCTCTTTGTAAGTTTTAGTTTTAAAAGCAGATAAATGAAGACTGAATTTGATTTGTGAATTGGCTTATTTTTCATGGGAGGATGGAAGCTAGATTTTATGCTATGGAATGTGGGATAACCTGTAGAATACTGAATTTTTGCATGATTCTTAGAGTTGGATTTCTTCTGTTATTATGTTTTGTCATTGTTTTGATATTGAATATCAGCACCTACATTTTCTGGTACGGTGGTACCTTTATGTTTCACTACATGCTATAAGGGTTTAAACATTATTAATTTTTGTTATCCTCTAGATACTGAGGCACTTCACTGGAAGTTGTGCAAATGTTTTGAAAGAAACACAAGTCAAGTTCTAGATATTCAATTTGGAGATTCTCGCACTTCTCTGAAATTGGTGAGTCTTCCTATTACTCGCTTATAACTCTCTTCTGCAGCGTTATGACGTGCAGTAGCAGACATGGTTTACAAATACGATAAAGGCTTTTTATACTTCCTGTATCCTTTCGTTTTTTGTTGGCAATATAGTAAAAAATCCTTTCATTTTTTTTGTTGGTAATATAGTACCAAATCCTTCTCTTATCAAAGCATAAAAGGTAAATACAACATATGAGAATTCTTCCAAAAATAGAAATAAGAGCAAGAGAGAATGTGTTAAATAAGAAAATATTAAACATTTTTGTGGTCTTGTTAATAGAGTGCACTTGTGTAACTAAAAGCATGTTTGGGAAGTGTTTATATAATGGTGGTGATAAGTTGGTAGTACTTGCATGTCTCTCACATTGGGTGGATAAAAGTGGCATGAGTGTATAAACATTTAATAAACATGAGCCAAACATAGGCTAAAACTATGAGCAGCTCTTCATGATCATTTATCCTAATAGTGATTAAAGAACAACTAAGATGTACAAAAATGGGACAACTGATTTATTTGGAAGGAAAGAAGGGGAGCATCCAGAATATGAGATGTTACCTGATATAATCTTCCTACATTTAAACTCGTTGTATTTGCTTGTAGTGCTTTAGTGAACTCTGCAAGTAAAAAATGAGATATATAAACCACTAATGCAAACATCAGTTAGTAGAAGACTCAGCCAAAGTAAAAAAATGAGATATATAAACCATTAATGCAAAAGATTAAGCCTATGTTTGGCTCATGTTTATAAACTATTTATAAACACTCAAGTTACATTTTATCCACGGATTTTGAGGACCCCCACAAGTACTATCTATTTATCCACCTCTCATTTCTCTCTATTTACAATCTAAACCATTTATAAACATTTCCTAAACATGCTTCAAGTATTTTTCTTTCTTTTCCCCCCCTATTTCTATCTTCAACCAGTTGTGTCACTGGATATAAATAGGCCGGCAACTGTAATTAACTTATTTTTCTACATGGATGCGGGTTATATCAATTTCACACGATGAATTTATGGCCTTGTAAATAGGTTGAGTTGGTCGGATGGGTAGAAAATTGGCACGTGCATTTTTTATGATATGAAATAAGCATTGAATGATATAAATTACAACCCATTGCTACCCTTAACTTACAAATTAGCATGGGGAGATTACCATGGTTTTCTAATGGATACTTATCTGCCTATAAAAAAATCTTTATACACAGATCTTCATTTGCTGGACTATCTCAACCTGTTTGTGCAATTAAACTAAATGTTTTAAAATATAATCCCTTCAACCTTGAAATCACTAGCAAATTAAAATATATAAAAATGTATTCCTATTTTCTAATGAGCTGATTTTCAATCCTGAATTTACTTCCTGCACAGGTGGCTGCATATTCAGATGGACAAGTGAAAATCTTTGAGCTTCTAGATCCACTTGAATTGGAGAAGTGGCAAGTGCAGGTATTTTATCATTCGTTTATTTTAATACTTGACGTTGCTGCTTATCTGAATCATTAGTTGGCATACCTGTGTAAGCTGGAAATGAAGTGTAGTGAGACATGTAATATAAGCATTTCAGACATGTATGATTGCTACAATTCTTGTTCTCTTAAAGTGATTTTGTGTTCACAAGTTCCTACCTGTACTGTTTCCTGGGATCTCGTCTTCTTCGCACATATTATGCATCATTTTCTCCCATTTTCAATGAAATTGAATCTGTACAATATCACAAGTAACTAGAATCATGTTTTTCATTCTCTCTTCGCCTAATTAGCTCCCATAGTACGTATATGCCAGTGATGAGGCTAATTTAATCCAGGTCTTTGAGCTTCACCTGAGTTGTGCTTTGACTGATATATAGGCACTTAAACTGCTTATGATTTATTGCAGTAAGCCATCGATGCATAATTAATCATCAATATCGACTATAGTAGAGAATCACAATATATGTTTTAGGTACTTGGATTTTCCTGTAATTCACCATCGATGGAATACCGGTTTGGGCTATTCACGTTTCGCACGACAAATATTTTTCAGCATTAAATAAGGTTTATTTTGATATATTTGTAGGCTGAATTTCAAAACATAATTGATTTAGTATCTAAGTTTGGGAATGCTTCATGCTCATCTGCATCCATCTCTTGGAATCCACAAAGAGGTGAACTCCAGCAGTCAAGCTTTATCTTGGGCTTCAGCTCAAATAGCCCGCTTCTAAATTCCTCCAAGGTACGTAGATCCTCCCTCTATGTTTCCATGCTAATGGTTGCACATGTGAAAAAAATTGGTGAAATTTTCAATTTGGGACTGGCATGTATGTTTTTGTTTGTCTCAATTTTCCACAGTTTGATGGTTGGCCATATGGATACAAAAATACTTGATTTACTACAACATGGTTAAGTTATAACACATCTTTTATATTCCAATAAATAATAATGACATCTTTTCTAATAGTTTTTTTAGATTTGTGCAATGCATGGAAGCTCATTTACCATGTACTCATATTATAGATTTCGATAGGTTTGGGAGTTTGACCAGGATCATCAAAGATGGCTTCCAGTTGCTGAACTTGCTTCGCCAGAGGATAAGAGTGATCAAGTTTTTGCAGTTGCTTGGGCCCCAAATATTGGAAGGTAGACTGATATCAATATTTCCCCCTTTCTCCCTTGATAAGTTTTTTGAGGAAAAATTAACTTAAAAAATGCTGATAGGGGAGCTTGAAACAGAAAGATTTCTTTCTAAATCAAAAAATATTGTTGTAGGATCCAAGCTTAAGCTTGTTGAACAAATTGTTACTTGTTTTTTATTATTTCATGAATTTCAGGCCATATGAATTGATAGCTGTTGCCACTAACAAGGGCATAGCCATCTGGCACCTTGGTTCAAACCCTGATTCAAACGGGAGGCTATCCACGGAGAAGGTTGCTGTTCTATCTGGTCACGATGGCGAGGTAACAACTTCCCCCACCATTTCATTTACTTGCTAGAAGGCTTATTTGCTATTTAATAGCTAATTGAAAATGAAAATTGTCAAGACAATAGGAATTTTTTATTTTATTTTATTTATTTATTATTATTACTTTTTTGGGGAAGTATGAGCATTACTTGTGGAAATAAATTTGAAAAGATAATAGTCACCACTCATATTGATCTGTTACTTCTGAATTTTGAACACTTGGTATTTATGTGACAGGACACACCAGTTTGTGTTTGTACCATGCAGACTCAAATTACCTTTTCTTTTGACGTAGATACAACCTTTGGCTAAGATTTAGATTAATTTTTGTTTACGAACTCTCTTTTTACTTAAGTGAAAAAGAATTTACTTATTTTGAGAGTAGGGTACGTGTTACTTCAAAACAAGTAATTTATTTCCAACTTTGATCGTTACAAAATTATTTAGTAGCACGTAAAATCAATTATAAATAAAATTATCAAGCTTAGCAAAACATGCAATTAAATATGGTGAAAAAGAGTTGAATACTGAACCTAGTTCGTAAATGATTGGCCAAGCTGGGACACCTAATATATTATTTTGCTCTACAGGTACAGCAGATGGAATGGGACATGAGCGGGATGACATTGGCCTCTACCGGGAGTGATGGCATGGTTAAGTTATGGCAGTCAAACTTAAATGGCGTTTGGCATGAGCAAGCCATTTTGGCACCCGTCTTTCCTGAACAGTGATCCTTTTTCCTCACACAGGAAAAGAACTTACCGTGTTGTATTTCCATGCTTAACATTAGGGCTTCTTTGTGTAATTTTCTGGTGACATGAATATATTTCTTTCTGTGAATTCGGAACATGCAATTTTGAGATTAGTTTATACTAATGCAAGCATCAATTTTACATTTAAGAATTGGAAACAGTTGCAATTTAAAATGTATGTTTAAAAATGGCCATCCTATTTCAGTTGTCTGGTCTAGAAATATGGACAAGTAGCATACTCGACTCTTTAGCCAACTTATCCCTACCAAATGCAGAGTCCAGATTAGAGTATTTCAAGCTGATGTATACAATCCTGAAGGGATTGAACCAGCTGTGCAAGGGTGCCTTTTTGTTTTCCATGTGGCTGCCCCCTTGTTGCATACTGAGAACTCTAAGGGTCAGGCATCAATGCTCAACCAACACCTGTTGTGGGAGAACCAAAATAAATCTGGTGTTTGTTTTACGTTTTTATGGTTTCTGCTTGTTTGTTGTTGCTCTCGGGATTGGGATTAAGGCCTAATCCCTAACGTATACAACTGCCAAATTATGTCCGAGATAACATTAAAATTTTAATGCACTTCGACATTTTCAGTACGAGGATACAAGTGAAGCTGCTATAGTCGCGGTTAGAGCCATAGCTGATTCTTGCCTTAGATCACAAACTGTTAAGGCTCATTTACACAGCTTCAGGGGGGTCGGCGTCTGCGCTCAAAGAAGATGGAACCGGATTTAAAACTTGCATGTATTAATCCTGTTCTACTCCTCTCGAATTTTCATATACTTCCAGAAATCAAAATAAGCTGGTACGTACTCATTTCTTATTATCCATTGGGGCAGGTTCAACTCAGTTTTTTCCAAATCATTGGCACTGGCTGCATTAGTTAAGACTCATAATTTTTATTAACTTTTCAAGGATGCCGGTGGTGTTAGACCATCATTTTAGGTGGCTATAATTTATAGATTCAATTAAATGGTCATACGACTTTGCGTTTAAATGAATATATTATTTAATGTCATATAATTACCATATACACTGGTACTTAGTACCAGCGGTGATGAATAACATTACTCACTTTTCAATCGTGGATTTCGTCGCTTTTTTTTTTTTTTTTTTAAATCTACTAACATTTTGATTTTTAGGTAAATCAAACCGGGCAAAGAGTTTAAGCCCCTTTTTGGGCTCCATTTTTTAGAAAATGCATTTTTCTCAATCTTATTTTTATTCACACATTTTTCAATAAAATAATATTACACATAAATCAAAAACTTTTTATTTTTATTTTTTAATCACACATTCCCAAAAAATCATTATTTCAAAATACATTTTTCCTTAAAATTCATTCGAGTACCCGGACAATGGCTCGAGCTTAATGGAGCCCAAACAAGGGCTAAAGAGTAGCTTAGTAAATACTAAGATTAAAGCATATACAGTGTTAGAAGACACGATCCTTTTGTCCATTTACAGATTCATTACACAATGTGGTGGTATTTTGACTCACCAAATCATTTGCATGACTAACTACCACAGATTGTCAATAGGATACGCCCTCACAGAAGAAGCGTTTGTTAAGTTAATATAATATATATAGAGCTGTTCAGAAAAAGTGGTGCCAGAATTTATTCAGATAATACTTGACAATTTTCTATTGGACAATGACAAAAAAAAAAAAGGCAACGTCTGTAAAATTTCTGGCAGCAATTTTCTGTACAAGGGGAATTGCTGTAATATAAATCAAATTAGGACCTAGGTAGGTTGAAAAGACATCATCACTTTGAGGAAGGAAAAAATAAAAATAAAAACACTGCTACACTTACAGTGTTTAGAGGGCTGTAATTTTTACAACTCTCTCTAATTAGTGTGGAGCCAATTAATTAATTAATTAATGGGCCCCACACTAATTAGAGAGTGCTATAAAAATTACAACCATCTAAACAAAAATAAACTTGAATTCGAGACAACTATTCGAAAATAAAAGTAGGTGGTTCAACTATCACCTTATTCATTAATGATTCGCTTATATGATTATATCATCAGACCACAATTAGTCTCAAGCCAAATAGTGGCTTTACAAATGAAATTTAAGTATCATTCATAGGACCCTCTTTGATCCCCTATTACGATCGTCACTCCGACCTCGATGGGGAACTTTATGGTGAGGTGGTGTATTGTTCAGTGCAGAAAATTGAAAGTTATACTGCTTTTTGAGGATCATATTGTAAGCCGACAGTCTTGGGGCTATTTCCCAAGATAACGGAGTTATCTTTCCTCTCGATAAGAAGATCTCTTCATTGATTTTGGAAGTGGATCCGAAGATAATTGATGAGGAAAAAATATCGATAGGCCCGAACTGTAGCTACTTGACCCGAACTGGAGCTACTTGACCCGAACTCGGGCTAGTAGTCCCAATCTTGGCCCACTCCAAATGGGCCAATTCCAAGGTCGGGTCCATTATGAGGTCGGGCCTAGGAATACTAGTCGGGTCCATTATGAGGTCGGACCTAGGAATACTAGTCCTACTTAAGTGCAAACCCCTAGTTCGTTACAAGGTTTATCCTAACACAAATTGTGCACTTCTAACACAATACAAACACCTAAAATAACTAGGGCTACATGAAGTTAAGTCCTTCCAGAACTCCCCATCCAACACCTATAAATACATAATTTAGCCTCATTATTCAGGTATGTTTTACATAATATTCTAATATACAATTTTTCACATAATTCTCTCGCTGACTTAAGCATCGGAAGGGCGACGAGAATACACATCGACGCCTTTGTTTCAGGTATCTGAGACTGGATCACGCGAAGATCATTCATCCTGTTCGGGTCCACCCAGGTACTATTTTTGACATCATCATTGGCATCGTCTGTGGGAAACGGATATGTTAACCATGTTTTACCACGTACCAAAAAAGCCACCGGAAAAACATAATTTTTCCGGACAGTTTGTTCTACTTAAGAATCACGGAAGTCAGCAAACAAAGGAAGAATGAAAATATATAGCTACTAGAAAGCAATTTTTTGACAGGCAGAAATATTTTTTCAATCGGTTTCCTTCGACCAAAACAAAGAAGTCAGCCACAAAATCAAACCCAAAAGAAATAAAAATCCAGCAACGGGGAGAAGAGAAATCAAGAAGAAGCCAGACCCTAAGTCAACTATCGCCTCTGCCATTACCGACTCCGCTCCGCCCCTCAGTCTCGCTCTCCTTCACCGCTGTTATGGTAACGTTCTTGACTGACTGTTTGAAATATGGCAAAAATCCACCCGAATTTGAGGGCTTTTGCTTGATATTTATTTGTTGAAATTGAGGGCTTCTGAAATAGATATTATTGAAGAAATTTGAAATCGTTGAGACAAAAAGAAACAAACAAGAATTTTAAGGACACCCGAGATCGCCTTCTGCAAAAGGTCATTCATGATTTTGCTGAAGCTATGAAAAAGTATAGCTTCATTAGGTGTGCCTTCAATCTAGACTGGAAAGGTCATGTGCAGAAGCTGAAGAAGATGGATCCCACGTGATCTGCCCAAAACAAGTTGGACAAAGTGTTGGCTAACTAATGGGCTCTTGGAAGAAATTTCAATTAGGTTGGCTAAATGTTTATGTAAAGTTGGGCCCAATATTTATTCATTCTGCCCATATTATTCTTTTGGTGAAATTGGTCTAAATTTTGTTAACTTTAAGGGATAGTAATTGTTCTTTTGGGCCTTCTACAATGATCTATATCCAGCCTACTCTGCTGATCTATATTTATTCTATTTGGGCCATCTCCTTCAGTCACAAAAGACATTACTAGTGGACAGGAGAATGAAAAGCCTCATTTGGATCCTAGTGTCTGGCTTAATCTTCAATCATGATATCTCAACGCAAAACAAAAAAAGAAAGGGAGAGGAAGGTTCAGGTTGTGACTTTGTACATGAGACATGGAGTTTTTTCTTCTAAATTTGGGCTGTCATTCTCCATCCTTCGTGGTATCTTCTGGAACTTGGTTTGAAGCCCTCTTCACTTCAATTTTTAAGGCATGCCCATTTGAAACTTGATAATAGGCAAAGTCTTTCCAGCAAGCTTCCATTTATGAGGCCTGCCATTTCTATTCAAGATGGATTTTCCTCCAGTAGCTCAAGAGGTTGCTGCCAACAATCCTTTATTTAAAATGGCATCATAAATCTGATGGCTTGGGTTCTGCAATTTTCAGAATATTCTACCCCAAAATAGAAGTCTATTTTGGCAATTACAATGGTGGCTAAACAGTTGAATATTTAAGAGTTTGGACCGCTATGTGAAAGCTCATTGAAATCTATTCGTCTCGAGTACACAAAATTGAAACTGTTAACCAGCAAAATGCTACTTCTCCAATGGGCTCATAGCTAAGGCAATGGATTAAGGTATTCACTTTTTTATTCTATAGTGAATTTATATTCTCCAAACAATTCAACATTAGATATATCACCGCTAGCTATTGCCTTTCTTTTTACCATATTCATCTCTTGATAACATGCCATTGATTTATTTATATGGAGGAGAGAATATAATGTGGTTTCTCTTGGTCTGTGGGAATGCACACACTTGACTAAGAAAATATAAAAATGGAGCCTACCTTCGCATAAAATACTTAGCACTTCCCCATTATTCGTTGACAATAATTAATAATATTTATTGTATATGACGTTTTGCTTGGTTACCAATCTAGGACCATCATAGAATTTTACTGGGTTTACAGAAAACCTTTGCTCCAAGAATTAATCATCATTATGAAAATGGCAACTTTGTAATTCTAAGCTATTGGACGTGCCTGGGCAATTGATTTGTGATGTTAGATAAATGTTTAGGCTTTTGATGATTTTATTGATTAACATATGAATAAATAAAGGCTATGCATTGAAAATATCATGAAACCACCATTTGTCTATATTTTCCACACTACTGCTAATGTGGAGCAATTGTCACGATTAGTTGAGATTAAAATAATAGCTCGTGCGTACATGCTAAAAGAAATAGATCCTTAAAGACACTAATCAGACAACGTACATCATATGATCCATGTTTTAATCTTTAAAAGGTATATATTTTGGTGTCATCGACGCTCGTGCTTATGATATGATTATTTGGTTATGATTTACAATAATGTTTGGTTCATACTCACTAAGTGCTTGATCAAATGCCCAACCAACATTTGTAAAATTGAAAGCCGATGGACTCATAGGTCATCGCACCTTGAGGCTAGCTCATGATTTTCTCATTACTGAAGGCGACTTTAACTCGTGGATTTCTTATTATCAGAAACAAAAGCCCTGTCAAGAGCAGACACCTAAAGCCCTGTCACGAGCAGGCCCACAAAAACCCTATCACGAGCAGGCCCACAAAAGCCCTGTCACGATCAGCCCCAAAAAAGCCTTGTCACGAGAGCAGGCCCAAAAAAACCATGTCACGAGCAAGCCACCTAAAGCCCTGTCAGGAGCAGGCCAACAAAAGTCATGTCACGAACGGGCACTATCAAAAGCCTTGCCCCGAACAAGCACATCTAAGCCTTGCCCAGCGCAAGCACCTCAAGCCTTGCCTCGTGCAAGCACCTCTAAGTCTTGCCCCGTGCAAGCACTTCAAAACCTTGCCCCGTGCAAGCACACAAGCCTTGCCCCATGCAAATACCTCTAAGCCTTGCCCCGAGCAAGCACATCAAAGCCTTGCCCCATGCAAGCACACAAGCCTTGCTCCGCACAAGCACCTCTAAGCCTTGCCCCGAGCAAGTACATCTAAGCCTTGAGCAAGCACTCAAAGTCTTGCCCCGCGTAAGCATCCTTGCAAATACTTCGTACATTCAATCAAAAATTAGTCCTAAAAATCATCAAGTAAAATGATCAATCTTATAAGTCCCGGAGCTTTCTTTCCAAGATCTATGCGTTCGGGGGCCTATCAACACATCTTTTACTCGACCTCAAGCAATTCACACTCAACTCAAGCAATTTGCATTTCATCTTCGAACTTCGAGCATTCTAAGCAGCATCCTCGAGACCCAAACATGGATGCAAGGGGGCCAATGATACGATCAATTTTTAATCAAACCCGAATAATAATGCTCGATGTTCGGGATTCCTCATTGGGCTTAATTGCCACACATGACAATTCCACATCACCTCGAATTTTTACCTTTCGAGCTTCCTCAACATGACTTGAGCTACTTGGCCAACAGCCCAAGTTACACGTCCGAAGTGATTACAAAACATGACTCGAGCTATTTGACAAAAATCAGCCAAGTCACACGCCTGGAGCTCATTACAAAACATGACTCGAGCTACTAGGCCAAAATCAGCCAAGTAACACGCTCGAACAGGCTCTTAAACAATACACGAGCTATCTCTTGCAACGAACTTGGCTAAAACGGCCACATAACACAGTCGAACTCATTATCGAGCTTATTGGCTAAAAGCTGGCCAAGTACCAAGGTCGACCTATTTATTTAATGCAAAACTCGAGCTTATTGGCCAAAAATTGGCTAAGTAACGAACTCGAGCTACATACGAATTGCAAATCAAACAATTATTAAACTCGTTGCGCCTCTTTGCATCTTACCTTGCAGCTCAAGCATGTAACTTTTAGCTGCGACCTGGATGCACGGGGGCCTATGATGAGGAAAAAATATCGATAGGCCCGAACTCGAGCTACTTGACCCGAACTCGGGCTAGTAGTCCCGATCTTGGCCCACTCCAAATGGGCCAATTTCAAGGTTGGGTCCATTATGAGGTCGGGTCTAGGAATACTAGTCCTACTTAAGTGCAAACTCCTAATTCGTTACAAGTTTTATCCTAACACAAATTGTGCACTTCTAACGCAATACGATCACCTAAAATAACTAGGGCTACAGGAAGTTAAGTCCTTCCAGGACTCCCTCTCCAACACCTATAAATATATAATTTAGCCTCATTATTCAGGTACGTTTTACATAATATTCTAATATACAATTTTTCACATAATTTTCTCGCTGACTTAAGTATCGGAGGGACGACGAGGACACACCTCGACGCCTTTCAGGTATCTGAGACTGGATCACGCGGAGATCATTCATCCGTTCGGGTCCACCCAGGTACGACTTTTGACATCATCAATAATATTGATCAAACTTCTATTATTGACCAATATTTCTTCATTTTCGTTCCTCAATATTTGAGCCTCTTCGCAAAGAATGTACCCTCGACCCTAACCCTCGGAAGTAAAAATAAAAAAAAAAAAAAAAGGAAGAAGAAGTTGGGAGACTGCGCGTGAGATTTACAGGTAAATTAAAGAATCGAGCTACTTGAACTCCACTATTGATCAATCCCAAATTACTAACAAATCTCAAAACTAATTAATTAAAGGTGTTGCCGGGAATTACAAAAACCGGCCGGGTATGTTGGCGGCGAAACCCCCACAGCCATCGTCCTCCTCCGTGGTCTGCACTGTCCGAGGCTCTCTTCTCTCTCTTGCCACCCTAACGCTAGTCTCCTTTACTTACATATCACTTAAATCCCTCCACTCCCCTTCTCTCCAACTCTCCACCGCCCCTTCAGCGCACACTGTACAAGTCTCTCAGCCTCAGGTACAACCGTTTCTCACCTCTTCATTTCGAACACTGACTTAATTTTCTAAGTGTTTTCTCTTTTTGCGTCTTCTGATTTGAAGGTAAGAATCGATGATGAGGGTGTTGATGGTGAGGTGTATCATTTTCCGAAGATGTTCAAATTGAACTACGAGGAAATGGAAAAGAGATTTAAGGTTTATATATATCCGGATGGGAATCCGAACACGTATTACCAGACGCCGAGGAAGCTGACGGGAAAATACGCTAGTGAGGGCTACTTTTTTCAAAATATTAGGGANGAAAATACGCTAGTGAGGGCTACTTTTTTCAAAATATTAGGGATAGTAAGTTTGTTACAGATGATCCGGATCAGGCTGATTTGTTCTTCATTCCGATCTCTTGTCATAAGATGCGAGGCAAGGTACAACCGCTTGATTTGATGGAAATTTTGTTTTTGTGTGGAAAGAGACCGTAATGTTGATGCTTATTGATTCATATGTGCCTTGATAATTATTGCTAATTGTTTAATAGGCAATGCTCAATATGTATGATGGAATTAGAAAAGGAGTTTTTATTTATTTGTCTATCTTATTAGCTGGTATTTCTCGAGTTATTGTATGGTTGTTTACTGTGGTAGAGCCTTCTTTGCTTTCATGGACAATAGCTAAACTGGTCTTGTGTGGTATACTGGGCCACTTAAGCATGATGGTCGCATAGTTGCTTTGGAACTTTATGCCTTCTATAACAGAAAAAGGGAACTCATCATCTCCGAGTCCCGAGTTAGCTAGTTATCTTCAAACTATTGCACTTTATATGTCATATGCATCTATTAGATTTAACTACTGTATTTTTACACTGAAATTATAATTCCTTACAAATTTAGTTATCTACCCTAAGATAACAGCCCCTAAAGACTAAGGTCAAATGTTAACATCTTCCCCAATCCATCACACCAACCAATGACCATCACAAGTTTTATTTCCATTCCTATTTGTCTGTGCTCTTTAGTTTTTCATATATTTACTTCCCAACCACACCAATTTTCACTCACGTGCACCCAACTATTACATGTATAAACTTAGTTGTTTGTACATTACATAAAATAACCATCCCATTAAACATTATGTACTTGTTCTCTCTCTCAAAACTTTCATTTCCTGCCACCATCCTAACACGTTTCTGCCCCCATTGTCATCTCCTAATTCCTCACATATTTATTGCCCACATTCTGGTGTTACAATTGCATCTCCACTTTTAGATCTCATTACTGCTTCTGCGACTAATTACCATGTGCATTGCCCCCTACTTGCTGTAGCTGTCACCATCTAAACATAACTTCACTCACAACACCACACAAACTCACATATGGAAACAATATGTTTGCAAACATCTGAATGAGAAGGGATAAGCAACTTTCGCATGAAAGAAGGTAAAAAAACAAGAGTTCAAGTGGGGAGTGAAAGGTTAGTTTCGCTTTCCTGTTGAGGTTTTTTCCAAGTCCATTTGAGCTGACAAGCCGTATGCCCCAAGAGTTCGAGGACTGGGGTCTCTTTTGCCCGCCACATCACTTTGTCATATTCTACCATTCCTATTGCATGGCCACCTCCTGCACTTCTTGCAGTTCCTCTTGCCGCTCTTATCTTCCCCACCTTTCATCCCTATCCTCTTGGCACTTCCATGATGCTTACTGGAATTGCACATATGAACCTGCAAACCCCTGCCTTTGGTCTTCATATGCCTTTGTTGATTGCTTGGATTGCAAAGTTTACTACTTGGTGTAATGGTTTTTATATAAGAAACCACTTTGCTGAACCTTGATGCACTACTCATGTTGATGGAGGTGAAGATAATTTCGGACTAAATGGTTACTACTCATGAGCTTTACCTTGTTCTTGCATCTTTGAAAAGTTTGCTAATGAAATGTTGGATTTTCGGATACGAAACATGTAAATGATCTTAGTCCTGTTGTAAGGTTCTTATACTTGCACAGTAATTTGAATTTGAACCTTTCCATAATACTAAATGATTCTCTTGTAATAATGCACAGGGAATATCATATGAGAACATGACCGTAATTGTACAGAACTATGTGGAGAGCTTGATGTTCAAGTATCCTTATTGGAATAGAACTCTGGGTGCAGATCACTTCTTTGTTACTTGTCATGATGTTGGTGTGAGGGCAACTGAAGGAATTCCATTTCTTGTAAAGAATACAATTCGTGTTGTTTGTTCTCCGAGCTATGATTTTGGATTTATTCCCCACAAAGATGTTGCCCTACCACAAGTTCTGCAGCCCTTTGCCCTCCCAGCTGGAGGAAATGATGTAGAAAACAGGTATGTTGTGTGAGATGTCAACCTCTTGAGGCCAGAATGGATTAGTTATGCAAATTCTTCGTTGTGGTATTTATCTCCCTTTTATGTGATCATTTTTGTTTGTTCATTGCCGTTTCACTACAATGATATAAAGTTCAACTTTTCAAAAATTCTCACTTTCACCATGGAAATGGACTAATTAGGTATCAACATCTTCTGCATTTGGAATGCACGACAAAGAACAGTTGCCTGCCTCTCTCTGTGTGTGTGTTTTTAAGTGTTAGTGTGTTATATAACAAGTTTGATCGTCTAATTATCGTTTTATACTGCCTCAAATTATAATCTCATGCTGGAGGGAAAATAGATTTGCAGGTGTGTGTAAAAATATCAGCAGTTGTTTATATCTCTTGAGCACTTTCTCTGCAGCTTTTTCCCTCACCGACGTAACTTTGCAACAAATCATTTGTTGGAGCCCGATCCTTTATATTGTTTTTTAATTTTTAAGTTTTCAAGTTTTATGGGGTGTGAAAGCAATAGTTCATTTAAAGTTGCAGGTTCAGTGTTTTTGTATTGATATTGAGAAGTTTTTTGTTTCAATGCCTTTGGCCTCTCCAGAATTAGAAAATGGGTTGGTTTCAGTCTTCTTTGTTTGGGAAAATTATGACCAAAATTATTTAAATGGTGAGGTGCAAGGTGCAAAGGATGGAATCCGTTTTACTGGGCTACATCTGTGAATGAAAGTGTCTTGCTGGTTAGAATGAAAAAAGATTTACCATATATGTGAACAATAAAAGAATTTTATCTTTAGAGTGTGTTTGGGACACATTCTTTTGAAAGAATGTATAATTGAATAGTAGATTGATGGAAAATGTGTAGTTAAAAATGAATGAAAAGTTATTGATGTGATAGAAAATATTATTTTATTGAAGAATATGTAGTTGAAAATGAGTAGAAGAATGATAATGAAAAAAATAATGTGTACCAAGCAGGGCCTTAATAGTAAATCACAATTTATTTTTCAAGTACTATCGAGTTTATGTTGATGTCATCTATATTAAAAACTGAAGTTACAATGCTTCCATACATGCATTTGTTTGTCGGTCATTCTTTAGTGTTTGAAAGTCTGTGCGTCATTCAAAATTCTGGTGACTAGTGTTTTGATCGACTAAGATTTATAATTTCTTAGCCAAGAAAAGATAAAAAAAAAATGGTTTATTTTGGGACCTCATGTTTTTAAATGACTTATTTTTATTGAAGAAAAAATTGGTAAAAAATGAAGAGAAGTTTTCTTGGATGCTCTTATACTTTGAGTTTGAATTTCTAAGCCTTGTAAAACATACAGTTTACTATGAATATGTTCAATCAATGAAAGTTCTGTGGTTTTGCTCTTCTATTTTTGTTTCACAAATTTCATCCGTAGTTCATTTCTCTTTTTTTATGCACTTAATATTGTACTTCTCTGCTCCTTATTTTCTTCTACTTTTTTACTGTAGTCCTAAGTTGTGTATTGTTAGTTGAGTTGTTAATCCAGTAATGTAGATGTGATGTTTACTTTTCCTATTGTGATGTTCGGTGTTACGTAGCAGAAAAGAAATGCAGGAGCATACTGCATAGTAGTTGCTTAAATTTAAATATAACATTCTGCAGGACGACCCTTGGTTTCTGGGCAGGGCATAGGAACTCTAAAATTCGGGTTATCCTGGCACGTGTATGGGAGAATGACACAGAACTTGATATTTCAAACAACAGAATAAACAGAGCAACTGGACATCTAGTGTATCAAAAGAGATTTTACAGGACTAAATTCTGCATTTGCCCTGGTGGCTCCCAGGTCAACAGTGCCCGCATTGCAGATTCCATACATTACGGGTGCATCCCTGGTGAGAATTTATTTCTTTTAGATGTCTGATATCAGTTATCAATTATTTGTTTGCATTTACAATCTATGCATCTTACATGCATGATAAAGACAGAATGAAGAGCATTTGAACTTTTTCCCATTGAACAATACTTGGGTTATGCTGTGTCTTTCACCTATAAAGGAACATAACACGCAAGATCAACCATATGATTCTATTTTGTCTCCAGGATTTCCTTATTATAGGATCTCTTCATCAATAATCAACTGGGATGATAAGAGGTTGTGAGCCTTCTTGTGACAACTGGTTGCATGTTGTGCTTGCCAAGTCTCGTACATATCCATAACCAAGAAAACATTTTTTTCCTGGGTGGTTCTGATAAATAAAGATTTTGGCACAAGTTAAATAAGTTAACTATCTTACTTCTATACGGTTCTCAAATCTTAAACTCCTTTCGAAAGAATCATGCTTGAGGGAGAAAATTATAATTACAATGAATAGGAAGTTATAACTAAATGAAAAAAAAAAAAAAGAATAAAGATAATGAATTTTGAAATGATAAATGATATTTTTCAATAACTAAATTCCCACTGTCAATGGCATTTACTAGGATGGGGAGAAATTGTAAGCCTTGGTGACTTCTTTAAATTATAATATTTCTACCATGTCATTGGTATTTATTGCAGTATTCACAGAACTAGATTTCAACACAAAATTAACCTTTTTTTACTCCCATATAGATCAGTGCATGTCTTATCTACTTAAAATGCATTATGTTGTTATACACTTACACTCTAGCGGAGAACTCAGGATTCCATTCTGCAATTGCATTGGTTTTCATTATGTCTTGCTGTTTATTATTTATAAATTATTCAAGGCTGGTTTGGTAGAAGGAATGGAAATTTGGGAGGATAAGAAAGTAGAAAGATGCAATTTCCATTTGTGAAAGATTCTTTTTCCTATGTATTTGGTAAAGGGTATTCCAGTCTGGATAGGAAAGTAACATGCATAGAGATGTGAACCACACAAGTGGGCAGTTGCCCATGTATCAATTTGAGTCATGGAATGGAGCACACACTGTCAATAGGGTTTGAAATCACAAATTCATTTTAAAACATGTCAGTTGTTAATAATCCTCTTTCAGTTTTATGGTATTTCTTCTCCCATTTGTCACAATAATTTTGGTGGACGAGATGCTATCTTTCAGCTGTCTACATCAGAAGTGGGCAATTTTGTCTTGAGATTTTCTGCTTATTTATTTATTTTTTTTGCAAAGAAAGAATTGCTAATGACTGTCATGGTGACTTGAGAAAATATCTTCAGATTTATCCTTTTCCTCTCTACTTTAAGCCACTCCTGACGGATTATTTTTGTTAACACAGTAGACTTTTTTACCAGCTTTTCTATCAGTCTGAATTTTTCGTCCAACCGAACAAGGAATGTCAATCTTCCATATTCCATATATGAATGAACCACATCTCATACTTGTCAAAGAACCTTTACTTGGATATTTCCCAATCAAAGAAGTTGGATACTTTGCTTTTTCTATCCATTAATTTTAAGTACTTAATTCATTAAAGGCTCTCAAAAAATCCTAAAATCCTAGTTCCTTCCCCTCCTTTCCTCTCCCCTTCCTCTTATGTTTAAAAATTTCAGTGTAATTAATCTCTTTGGATTCATGCATTTGTGTATCCATTTTCCCATGACTCGCATCCAATTGCTTGCCTAACTTCTTTGGATTTTTTCTTGCAGTGATACTCTCTAATTATTATGACCTGCCTTTTAATGATATTCTGAATTGGCATAAATTTTCGGTTGTACTAAAGGAGAAAGATGTCTACCAGCTGAAGCAAATTCTTAAGAAAATAACACAAGAAGAATTTGTCAAGTTGCACTACAATTTGGTCGAGGTATAAATATTTGTCAAGTATGGGAATATGTTGTAGAATGGTTGATTTTATATTTTTTATACATTGCACGTAGTCAAATTATCTCAACAAAAGAGTATAGGGCTCGGTGAAGCAAGAATTTGAACTTGCAGCTGACAGTTAGTAGTGATGCTCTCGTTTCAGGTTCAGAAGCACTTCCAATGGAACTCACCTCCCATCAAACACGATGCTTTTCATATGGTAATGTACGAACTCTGGTTGCGCCATCATGTGATCAAGTACTAACTGCTGAATCCTTTAAAGGTACATATTAACTTCAGATGTAAGATGTTTTATTTCATATATTCTAAGTTTACTTGTGATGTTTTACTTCTGATCTTTCAAGTCTTCTTTTGTTGTATCTTTTTAAATCTAGGTCAATTTTTTAACAGTTTGTATTGCCTGGACTTGTTAATGAGATACTTTTGTTGATAAATGGTCCATCTACATGCCTGATTAGTTAAGAAAATAGATCTATAAACTCTTAGAATAGATTTCCATAGTATCTTCTTCATCAGACACTAATTCTCTTTGTATTTACCCTACTATAATAAAAGAGCCAATCCGCCGGGTACTATACATTTTTGAAGCATTTTGGACTTTGACCAGCATTTTGGTTTCCATAATTGCCCCCACCTATTGACTAATGTTCATTTTTGAAGCATTTTAGTTTCCTCAATTACCCCCACCCTGTTGATACTGTTCATTTTGAAGCATTCCATTTGAATGAAATTGTTAGAATATTCACCCCCAATTGTTGACTTTGCCGGTGGGAAAAAAAAATTATAAAATAAATTATTGAAATG